GGGGGGCAGAGTGGAGTGGCTCCTTCATGAACACAGGGTTTCCCAGGGGGATGATGAAAATGTCACAGGCTTAATCAGGGGTGATGATTACAAAAGTAAACCCCACTGAACTCCTATAAATTACGTAAAGGCTTCGTTTTGTTCTGTTAATTTCACGTGACAATTATTTTTCCTTTTTAAAACCATACACCCCAGCTCCATGACACACACTGAACTCAAGGGAGCCCGCGGCCCGCAGGCTACTCCTCGGTTCTTGAAGCTCATCTTCAAACTGGCGCACCTCACCCAGGGCATGAGGGGCAGAGGGGCAGGCGGGTACCTCTTGGAGGTGACTGGTTCGCTGGTAACCGCTCTTCTGAAGGATGGACCAAGCTATCTCAGTGTCGTTCACGTTCATCTGACAGCCGTACGTCTCGAGGTAGACTGCAAGCAGTGTAATCCCATGAACAGGCAGACAGACAAGGAGACACATGTTTCAAAAGGGCTCCGCAAAAGAACAGAGGCTCGTGGTGCCTCAATTCGGACACGCTATTGATCACCAGATACACACCCAGATAAATGACAGTGTTTCAGAACAAGAGAAATACTACAGTAAATGTAAACACCCATCATGAGCTGTATTTAAAATCACCCAAGAAGCAAGGAAATATAGTTATAAAAACAATTAGAACACAATTTCAAGGATATACTCAATCTGACTGATTACACAAGGAGATGTTGTTGGATTGGTGTTTTGCTGTATATATTTTCACAAGAAAATATGCTAAATAAATGAAATTATGTTTCTTTGGAATAAAGAACCAACAAAGTATTGTTTAAAAAAGAAAAAAAAAACTAGACAAAGGAGGGCTAGCTGATAAATAATATTGGATTATTAGGGAGAAAATGTATGTGATTAGATACATACACTATGAATGTACTGAACACCAATTATTATAAATTAGTAGAGTCAAGCGTCAATGGAGACATTTAGCATAGCATTATTTACACACATATATTTTTCAACATAGCAAAGTACAGCCATAGCAGAGTAGCTGGAAGACGTCCTGGCATAACCCAATGAGACACTAAAGAGAAGGATTACAGCGTTTGGGGAAACATTAAATGAAAACAGCAAAATACAAATAATCTATGCCAAGTGAGCACCACTGTATTGTAATTTGCATGTTACTAACGAAATGCCTGTTCACATATAAAGAGTGGATTTCCATAACAGCAAGTGTGAAGGCTACTTTATGACTTAAAAAGATAATCTTGAAATTAAAAATGATTTTAAGATTTGTAATGGTAGCCCAAGAACCACAGAGAGGACTCCCAGGTCTTCTGCCCCTGCCATGTCTGCCATCACTGAGTTCCTTTACAATAACTTACTTGGTAGAACTGAGAATTCCATAACTTACCAGCATTCCTACACAGCTAACCCTCCAAAGCTAACTCTATAATTGGGGAAAAAAAATGAAACACACAAACAGTACAAGACACCCCAAATGACTGGGACCTCCTAAAAATTGGACACTGATGGGCATCTCAGGATTTTTACCAGAAGAGGAAAAGGAGAACCCAGAGTGAGGATACCTTTTTGGCAAAGACATATTAGACAAGGGACTCATGGCTAAAATGTAGAGAAAACTACAATAAGGAAGAGAGAAATAATCCAATTAAAAATGGGTAGAGGACATGAAGAGACACTTGAACAAAGAAGACATTCAGGCATCAATAAGTAGATGAAGAAGTACTTGCAATCGCTCAGTCACTGGAGAGATGCAAATCTGAACGACAAGGACATACCACCTCCCCCCAGCATTGAAAGCAAAGTTCACAAAACAAAACAACAAATGCCGGGAGGATGAGCCAGCAGCACTGGTGGTGGGGTGGTAACACGATCCAGTGCTGCAGAAAACAAAAAGACTGAGGGTTACCACATGGTGTGTATTCTACAGAAACAGAGGTGCGACAGGAAGAGATAAGCACATGTAGTTCATCGCGACACACTCGCAAGAGCAAAGAGACAGAACAACCTCGATGCCCACCAATGGAAAACAGGGAACACGGAAGCGACACGACATCAAAAAATATCGGTGAATCCGCGAAACACTTCTCACCATGGATGAAATTACTCAATCACAAATCATGTCCGAGACCACTATCATAAGGGGTATGTATGTATGTATGTATATGAATGAATGAATAAATAAAAGGGTTTTGACACAGAAAGAAACATTCTTTGATGTTTAACAGGGGTAGCAGGGAAAGGAAGTTAAGTTACTGGTTAGAGAGTGAATACATGTTAACTTGGGGGGAAACTCACTCCCACCAATTCTGACTTATAGGACCAAGTCTAGCTGCTCCCATGGGTTTCCAAGGCTGTCAGTCTTTATAGGAGAGAAAGCCGCATTTTCTCCCGCGAATGACTGGTGTTGAGCTGCTGACCGTGCAGCCAATCGCATAACCCACTATGCCACGAAGGCTCCGACACGTGGGGAGGAAAGGCCATGCTTCTTCTTCTGAACTAGGGTCACGATGACTCGGAGGCACCAGAGATGCATGGACACAAGCACACAGCTGCACCGGGGTGGGACAGAGCGGATGCCCACAAGCAAATGCATATAGATGGATATGATCAAGGATATGTGTACATGGGTATTTTGCCTTTGCTGTAAAGACATTCATAAATGGGGTAGAGCTTCTAGGGGGAAAAGTTATGGAAACTTCTTAGATGTAACCAAACACCTTGAGGGAATGAGTTGCTGAGCCTGGGGCCTACCTGGGTTACCTGGGAATGAGACGCTGAGCCTGGAGTCTACCTGGGTTACCTGGGAATGAGTTGCTGAGCCTGGAGTCTACCTGAGTTAAGTGGGAATGAGTTGCTGAGTCTGGGGTCTACCTGGGTTACCTGGCACAACAGAATCCACAAAAGAGCCCACATAGTTCAGTCGGTAGAACATCAGATTCCACAAAAACCATGTTTTCCATCTTCCTTCAGGTCTCTCTCCATCCAGGGGAAACAAAAATGATGAAATTAGAAAGACATTATGTAAACAATTAGTCCAATGGACTAATGAACCACACAAGCATCAGTCTCCTTAACTAACCCTGAGACCAGAAAAACTAGGTGGTACCCAACTAGCACTGCCAACTGCTCTGAGAGAGATCACATTTTCAGGTGAAACTACTGTTCTCTCCCCGCTCCAGGAAAGAAGAGTACAGGAAACGGAAGACCAAGGGAAACAAGGAGTCCAATGGAATAATGGACATGCAAGCATCCCTCTCTCGACAGTGAAATCCGAAGGGCTAGACTGTACCAGCTGCTCCGAAAGGGATCACATCAGAAGATCACAGAGGGAATGGGCCAAAACTACAAACCATGAAAGACTCCAGGCTTACTGGTCTGATCCAGGCTAGTAGAGCCCCGAGGCCCTGGCCCTTGTCACCCTTCAGGTCTGGAACTGAACTCACCCCATGGCTCCATTTTCAGCCAGACAACAGACAGGGCTAGAGGGCAATGATAACACTAGAAAGGTACACATACCTTTGAGTAATCCATCATTCAAGACCAAAAAGGCAAGGAAAGAAGAAGGGGTGGGGAAGAATGAACCAGAAAACACAGGGAGGAAGTCAGGTAAGTGATGTTACACTCAATGACAGGACACCAAGTGACTAAGAATGGTTGAACTGAAACATGATCTGCTCTCTAAACCTCCACACAATTGAAAAAGTATATATAGTATTTTAATTCTTAATGCAACAAAAAAGGATCACATTAGAAGGTATAAATAGAGTAGGTAAAAAATATTGAGCCAAACTCAAAATCATTTTCTAAAAAGACCAGGCTAGTTGGTCAGCTGGAGACTGATGGAACCCCTAAGACTACAGCCCTTAGTCACCCTTCAAGTCTGGAAATGAACTCACCCTCGTGATTCAAGTTTCACCCAAACAATACTGCCATCGAGTCAATTCCAACTCACATCAACCCTACAGGGCACGACAGAACTTCCGCTGTGGGTTTCCAAGACCGTTACTCTTTAAAGCACTATTTTTATTTTTCTCCCACGGAGCAGCTGGTGGTTTCAAACTGCTGATCTTGCGGTTCACAGTATGCACTGCCAGGACTCCTCCAGCCAAACAACAAGACAGGTCTCTTAGGGGGTTAGTAACACTAGGGGTATGCACACCTTAGAATATTCAACCATTTAAAACCAAAAGAGCTGAAAACACGTTAGCTCTTTTCATTTGCGATACAATATAAAAAAAAGCTGTGCAACCGCCAGCACAAAAAGAGAAAGGAAAGAAGTCAAAGGTCAGCGGTCAGGACAGGAGGAATGGAAACAGCCACCACAGGAGGGAATGGGCTAAAGTGATGCTGCCCTGTGGAGACTGCCGTGACTGGGATGAAACTGAACATGTCTAAATCGTTGCAGGCAAAATTGATGATCTGCTCTGTGAACATTCACCCCAAAAAGTGTTGGGTTTGTGTGGAAGATGTAATTAATGTCACTAATCCACATATGAAGCAATATTTAAGACTCAAGTTCTGGATGCTGCAAAGGAGTAAAGCAGGAACCTGAGAGGGGAACGAGGAACAAAGCTCACCTTTTCTCTGCCTTCCCAGAAGTCCATCCTCTGTGAGATAGGGGGGTGGGTCCTCGGCTTCCAGGGAAGGCAGCTTCTCTTGAGGAGCGGATGCACTGCTTAAAAAATGCTGAAAAGTCGGTCCTGTCAGGAGCCTGGTGCTGAAATCCTTCAGGACACCATCCTTCTGAGGCCTCTCTGGGCTGGGACAGGCAGTGCTGGGCTGCCTGCTGTGCCCTCTGCAGTTTTTGAGTGGCAGCCAGGACACACAGGCCACCGTCCCCAGCCTCAGAGGCCCCTGTGCTCGCAGGACATGCTGTAAAGGCTGCATAACAGCAGCCTCAAAATCTGCAGGACAAGGATACACATCACCATGTATGGAATGCTGTGTATGGGGCACTGCTCTTAAGTCATTCAATCCTCCTCCCACCACCCCCACCCCAAAGAAAAACATTAAAAAGCTCCTCTTAACAATATTCCTATTTTATAGACAAGGAAACTGAAGCACATTCCCAAAGACCACACAAGGAAGCAGCAGAGATGGGGGCCAAAATACAGGTACAGTCACCTGTTTGCAAAACAAAGGAGCGGGAGAGATGAGATGCAGCACCAGGTCTAAGGGTGTGAAGAGTATTAATGCATTAAATCCTCAGCCACCTAGACGACAGACATTACTCTTACCCCCAGAGAGAGATGAGGATCTGGACCCAGAGACTGAGGAGCTCCCCCACGGGCCCACCACCAGTCAGCAGCACAGCCAGGATGCCATTGAAGGCTTGCCTGCGGGACTGCAAAACCCGAGCTCCCCTAGTCACTTGGCTACACTGTTTCCTTTAGGGCATGTTCCCCTGACCACACTTCCTGACATCTTTTTCTGTTTTGGTTAATCTTATCATTGGTAACGGAGCCCTGTTGGTTAGCGGCCCAACGCTTCACCCGCTGTACCACCCGGGCCCACCCCCGACCTCTCAGTAAAGTTGGGATAATGCACCTATCTCCATCGATCATCTGTGAGGATCAAATGAAAGCATGCAACTACAATGCTTGTGTAGCACAGGGCCGAGGATTTCGTGCAGGGGCGGGAGGGGGGATGGTTGTAGAAATGAATTGGCAGTGGGCAGTGACTACAACAGCCCCAACATTTCATTAGATGGTCACTCTGCCAGGCCTGGCGCTAAATGATTTCCATGGATTATTATTTTATCCAGGCAGCAGAGCTGTGGGGCAGAATTTATTATCCTTGCCACTTCACAGGTGACAAACTAGGGCTCGAGAGACGCGGGGGCCCGGACTTGCCCAAGGTCACACGCCGGCCGCCTGATACCGGAGCCCGCCCCGTCGTCACCACGCGCGTCCCCCACGCGAACACCGCGGTCGCCCCGGGCACTGGGTGCGAGCGGGGATCCGCCGCCCAGAAGCGCCGCTCACCTCCAGCAGCGGAAACCCCGCACGCCGGTCGCCGCCCGCTGTCCGTCGTCCCCCGGCGCGCGCGCACACGCAGCACTTCCGTTCCGCCGCGACTTCCGCCCGGGTGCTGCCGCCGGAAGTGTCTTCTCTGCACGGTCCGGGTAGAGCCCGGATGCTGGCTTGCCACGAAGGCTACGCTCGCGTGGATAACAGTCGCAAGCCGCGTGTGGCTATTGTACGTTTGACATGTGGCGAATGAGAAGTAAGTGTGTTCTGAATTCCCTGGCATTTGAGAGTAGAATGGCGTGACAGAAGGTTCTCCAGGCCTTTCGAGGCGCCTGGGGGGCGGGGTGGGGGCGGGGAGGGCTTCCAATCGGCCACCTTTCCGTTGTTAGTGTGCACTTAACCGTTTGCGCCACCACCCAGGGACTTGTTCAATAGAAATATGCACACCAGACGTCAAAGAAACCATGTAAAATGTTTCTCTGAAAATAACTATTGATTACATTCGTATGTGATTACATTCTTATGTAATAATACTACGGATTCACTGGGATATGGAAACACAGTCTTTACATTAATTTCAACAGTTTTTTACCTTTTACGTGGCTACCAGGAAATTTTAAATTATGGCTCGCATGATATTTCTGTTGGACAACGTTGTCCTATCGGTTCGTGGTTCGCAGAAGCCCTTCCCAGCCTGGGCTCTCCCTAAAGCTGCAGACGCACAACTTTGCTGTCAGTGAGACACCGCCCCCTTGAATAGCTAATGATCCTCTCCAACCGAACTCTTACACACATATCCAGACGCAAAACGACTCCTGCCCATTCTGGCCCATTTCTACATAGCCATCCTCCCAATGACACTAGGAAAAACTGGGGAGTGGCATTATTTTCTGCCCTCAATTCCTGTCGGCCAGAATTCCAAAAAGTCTCAAAATTGTTCTCTTTCCTGTCCCCCCAGTTTTAGCCCAGCACACGGACACTGTCATGTTAGTTTGTTTTACAGCGTAGTGGTGGTTGTGCTTTGGATTGCTAACCACAAGGTCAGCAGTTTGAAACCACTAGTCACTCCTTAAGAGAAAGATGAAACTTCCCCTAAAGAGTTACCGTCTGGGAGACCCACAGGGGCAGTTCTACCCTGTCCTGTAGGGTCACTGTGCGTAGGCACTGTCTCCATTAGCAGTGTGTTTGGAGTCATACTACTCTGTCACACAGGGTCATCACGCGTCAGAATGGACTCAAACAGGTCACTATCATGTTACCACAAACTAGCACAAACCATTTCCTTGTCTCCTCTTCCTCCGCCTCCTCCCACACTAAGCCTAGGAGAGTTTGTTGGCTAAATTAAATCATATAAAAATAAAATCCTGTCTCTCCAGTATTGAAAACCCCCAATGGCTTCCACTGCCCTTCCAATAAAACACAGATTTCCCACAAGGGTTTGCACGATCTGACTTCTACTTCCTTCTCCAACCTACATGGGAGGAAGCAGGTGAGCCAGCAAGTTCAGAGGGCATTTAGAAGGCGATGGCTTCCGTGAAGCCCTCAGCTGGGGTGGTGTAAGGGGTGGTGAATGTGATGATAAAAATTTTATTTAAAAAGCCCCTAGATCCCAGGAGTTTGAGACATATAGCAAAAAAGGTCACACCACCTATCTCCTTAGGTGACTGGTGTCAATGAAGTCAAAACCACGAAGACAATACACAGCCCAGAATTGTAAAAACAACAGTTTTGGGTTTTACTGTGGTTCTCCCGATAACCTGGAGGGAGATCTGATCATTTGAGGAAATGATCAGCACCATGGCAGTCCAAAATATCAGAAATCCTGGGAAAACTCTTAGATCAGAGAGGCAGGTTCTTGCACAAGCCAGACTGTAAGGACTCCAGTGGGAGAATTATTCAGGTTTATTGTCAAGGTGTTTGAAGGCCAGCGGGGAGGGATGTCCTGTCCTAATTTAGCCATGGGCAAGAGGGTACCATGCCACAAGGAACTCCAACAGTGGCAGCACCTACATTGTAACATGAGCTTGGAGATTAAAGGGGGGGTGGGGGCATTCACCCACTGAGAGCAGATCAAGGCCGTATCCCATCCTTCTGGCCACACCAGTTTCCTGTGTCTGTTCTATCTTTTTGTCACCATGTGCCTTCTCTCGTTACTGTCAGAATTCACAGGATAGAGGGATTCTAGGGCTGGAGGGAAGCCTGGAAGAAGGCAGAATTTTACTCCAAGTCTCTTGCCATCTTAGAGCTCTACTCTTTCGAATCTCCCAGAAGCCTCAAAGGAGACCTCACCTTCCCGCTTTGTGGTGGGGGCAGGAGGTAGCAGGCCAGAGGATGGCAGAACGACCCCTTGCTAGTTGACCCCTTGCTAGTTGACTGCGCATGGCGCCAAGCTGGCAGCATGGTGCCTCCTTTATCCATACACTCAACAGCCATTCCCAACCCCCCCCCACTACTGCTGCACACCCACATCAGCCCCCACGAGGTCCAGTCGCCATCTCCCACCACCCTCCTTGGCCCCACTCCAACACAAAGATTCTCTTTCACAGTGGTTTCCTCAGGTCCCTTGTTCCATTCCACCTCAGGGCCTTTCCCTGGGCTGCTGTGCTGGGAGGCTGCCCCCGCCCCACCCTTCACCATTCTGATGATGACTGAGCAATTGTGCGGTCCCCCCTCCTCTGTTTTCACTCCCAAACCTGTCAGGCTCAGCCGTGTGACTTGTTTGAGGCCCCAGGCGAAGCGAGGACCTGGTGCTAGCAGAGGATGTAAATGTGCTCGTGCATTTGGCCTTTCCTTGCACTCCAGTGATGGACCAGGAGGAAAACAGCGGGAGAGCGGCTGTCCCTTCCCCTCAGGCTCTAGAAGGAACAGTTTAGCTGAGCCCGGCCCACATTCTGAAGCAAAGACACTCAGGAGAGCCGTTATCATCATCAAACCAGTCCCAGAAGAATGAAAACAAATGACTTCTTGCTGTAGCCACTGAGATTGGCGCTGGTTGTTAATACAGCATCATTGGAAACCCTGGTGGCACAGATGGTTAGGCACCTAACTGCTAGCCAAACGTTGGCAGGTTGAACCCATCTAGGGATGCCTCAGAAGAAAGATGTGGTGCTGTGCTTCTGAAAACCTGGTGGGTCAATCCAACTCTGCACAGATGAAGTCGACATCAGTAGAAATCAACTGGATAGCAATTTACAACAGCTGATGGAAGCATGCTTCTTCAGATGAAGGTCAACTTCAAAAATCTCCTTCTGAGAGAAACCTCTCCTAACCCTCCACAACAGGTCGGGTCCCTGCTGACCTCCCTGCTATGTGTGTCTGCCCAATCAGAAACCACACATTAGATCACGGGATCTTTTGATGAATGTCTTTCCCCTGATGACACTGTTTTGCTCAGATATGTCAGTTTACAGCCCTAAGGTCTAGCACACAGCAGATAAACACTAGCTATTTCTCGGATGAATAATGGATTGATGGGTGGATGGATAGACAGATGGACTGGTAAGTGGATGGACAGATGGATGAGTACATTGATTAGTGGATGGATGGATGGATGGAGTTGGTGGGTGGATAGGTGGATAGATTAATGAGTAGATGGATGGATGGACAGACGGGCAGATAAATGGGATGGACAAGCTCAAGAATCATCTCCAACTCTATATACCTCCCTTCCCACATCCAGGTTTCTAGAAACAGCTTTAGATTGTTCTTTGTTTTCTTTTTTTTAAAAATACTTTTATTGGGGGCTCTTACATCTCATCACAATCCATACATTCCTCTATTGTGCACACATGCCATCATCATCATTTTCAAAGCATTCTCTTCCCACTTGAGCCCCTAATATCAGCTCCCCATTTCTTCCCCCACCCTTCCCCACACGCCTGTTCTTTGTTTCCAAGTCCCTCTGGACCTCAGTTTCCTTCTGAGGCGGTCCAATTGAAACTGCTTTGCCCAATACAATAGCCACACTTGGCTATTGAGCATTTGGTATGCTGTGTGAAAGTAGAACTGAGTTTTTCAAATTTAATTTTAAATTTGAAAACTCATACTCAGTGTAGCTATTGGGAAACTTTAGTTATGTTTGGAATATCTTGGGTATGTGAATCTACTTTTATCAACTGTAAACTGTGTGAAATTGAAATACAGATCTAGTGTTTCCAGTTAAAATTTGCATCTGAATAGATATATACTTTAAATATAAAATATACTTTGGATTTTGAAGACTTAGTACACACACACACACACACACACAAACAATGCGAATTATTTCATTATAATACATTTTTATAGGTTACATGTTAAAACAATAATTGTAATAGATGGACTAAGTCAAATACACAAGGGGACTTTTAAACGTTCATGGAAAAAGAGGGGGGAGGTGAGCAACTGATATTAGGGGCTAGAGTGGGAGGCAAATGTTTTGAGAATGATGAGGGCAACAAATGTGCATATGTGCTTGACACAATGGATGGATGTATGGATTGTGATGAGACTTGTACGAGCCCCGAATAAAATAATTTTTTTTAAAAAGTTCATGGAATGATGGAACAAAAAGAATGGATTTTTTCCATGAACTTCTTGAAGGCCGCTCATGTTATTAAAATAAGTAAATGTATAGAGCCGTGGCTACCAGAAGTGAGAGGGCAGGAGAGGAAGTCACTGGTTAGGGTCCACTGGGTTTCTGTTGGCGGCAGCTGAATAACTTAGGAAAGGATACAGTGGTGATCACTGCACAACACGGTAAGTGTAATCAGGGCCACTGAATTGCACATGTCAACAGCATTGAATCAGAAGATGTTGTACACTTGGATATATTTTATATACATTTGTATATATTTCCCCACAACAAAAATATTTTGTTATTGCTCACTGTGATCGTTTCAAACTTTTTAACATGTTACTACTGAAAAATGTAATACTACACAGGTAGCTCACAGAACTCCCTGGGTGACCAATGGTGAAGCTGGTGACTAATAACCTGAAGGTGAGCAGTTCAAACCCAGAGTTACCTCAAAAGACAGGGCCTGGCAATCCGCTTCCAAAGGTGACAGCCTTCACGGAGTTACACAGGTAGCAAGGTTGGATTGCTGTAAACTCTCTAGTGGATAGTCTCCACAAGAAACACCAGTGAAGCAGAGAAAACTGAAAGGCCCTAACCCTGAAATCCCCAGAGAGCACACGTCTACCCTGCAACCCGGGGCCACCATGAGTCAGAGTCGACTCGCTGGCAACGGAGCTGACCTCACTCACAGCATCTGTCTCTATTGGCCAGTGCAGGGCCAGACGGCTGTAAAGTGAACAAAGGTTTTGAAGTCCAAGAGTCCTAGCTGGAGTTCTAGTCCATTTCCTCTTTGAGCCCCAGCTCCCTTACCTGTGAAACAGACAATACCACCTAGGTGTGGGTTGATGATCCGATGAGGTAAGCATAACACACGTTTAGCACAGTGCCTGGTGGAGAGAAAGTGCCCTTGACACACGACCTATGGTGGCTGTTAGCGCGACTTTCTGGGCAATGTAGGCAAGTGGAAAGTCATAAGCTTATGTGGTACACTGAGGGACTGGATGAGAAGGTACGTAATACAGCTAAATCCGCCGTGCTCCCAAGTACCAGTCTGGAAAGCCTGGTGGGTGAAGACCCTCAGGGTTATGAGATCTAAATAGATCTTAATATACATTCTCATGACTGGACACAGTCCCTCCAATAACATTCCCCCCATAAAGGAACTGTCAGAAAGGAGCGACCATCTAAGATGAACCATTCGTGCGCCTGGCTGTTCCCTGTGCCTGGAGGTTGTAGGTAAGAGCAGTAAGGTTCTCTGGTCAACCCACCCTCTAATGTAGCAGCCTCCTGGGGAGGGCTCAGGAGGCTTCGAGGTCAACTAGCACTAGGTCAAGACAATGACCCACCTCATTGCTGGCTTATTATATTACCCACTTATGATATTACTTATTATGTTAGCTGCATGATGCGCATGCTTTATGAAAGATCTGTAAGCTCCATTATATAGACCAATTGGAAAATACATTCACTCTCTCAGTCCTGACATGGCCCTGTGTCCCGCTGTCTGTCTGTCTGTCTGTCTTTAATATTTTCCACAATCACAAAGTTGATCCCAGGGACATATTTGAGTGTTGGGGCCCCCTCACCCCAATAATCTTACACCTGCCTAAACACATGCCAGCCAGCCTCTTATCTATAGGAAAAAGATTGATAGTGGCTTTAAAATATGTCCACACAAGTATTCCCTCAACGCAAGAACATTTTGTTCTAATAACCTGGCATTCTGGGATGCTCATCTTCCCAACATGACCACTGAAGACAAAAGGGGTACATAATAAGCTGGTGTTGCCCAGCTATCAAAAGATAAAGCATCTGGGGTCTTAAAGGCTTAAAGATAAACAAGCAGTCATCTAGCTGAGAAGCAACAAAGTCCATGGAAGAAGCATACCAGCCTGTGTGATCAAGAGGTGTAGATGGAATCAGGTATCAGGCATCAAAGACCCAGAACAAAACATTCCTATCAATGAGAATGGGAGGGGGGGATGGCGCAGAGTGGAGACCCAAAGCCCATCTTAGACAATTGGACATCCCTTCACAGAAGGATCACAGGGAAGAAACAAGCCAGTCAGGGTGCAGTATAGCACCAATGAAACAATATTCCTCTAGTTCTTTAATGCTTCCAGCCCCCGCCCCCACTATCATGACCCCAATTCAACCTTACAAATCTGGCTAGACCACAGCATGTACACTGGTACAGATAAGAGCTCGAAACACAGGGAATCCAGGACAGATAAACCCTTCAGGACCAATAATGAGTGGGGGGAGAAAGAGTGAACCAATCACAATGATCTACCTATAACTCCCTCCCTGGGGGACAGACAACAGAAAAGTGGGTGAAGGGAGGCTGGTCAGTGTAAGACATAAAAAAATAATTTATAAATTGTCAAGGGTTCAGAGGGGGGGGGGGAGGAACTGATACCAAGGGCTCAAGTAGAAAGAAAATGTTTTGAAGATGATGGCGGGCTTCGGCAGCACTGGGTTGGGATGTTTTCTTGATGCACACTTAACCTTAATATAAAACTCTCTCATACATGAGTTGCTGTGGATTTGTTTCTCTAAAGTGCCCAGACTAATACAGTAACCCTGCAGAAATTATTAAACAATATCATTGATATAAAAAAAATGATGGCAACAAATGTGCTTGACACAATGGATGGATGGATGGATGGATTGTGATAAGAGCTGTTCGAGCCCCCAATAAAATAATTTTTAAAAAATTCTTTGACCTGTCTCTCTACAAGAGGTGGCACCTGCTTTCACTCCCTTTCAATGCAGACTGAATGGAGTGCCTTCTCTTAAATGGAATATAGCAGGCGTGACAGCATGTGACTTCCAAGACCTTCCCCAGCTTCTAGAGAAGCACTGTGACTTCCTGCTTGCTCTCGCTCCTGCCTCACTCACGTCTGAGGAGCAGCTGGGTCATGAAGACACTCAAGCAGCTCGATGGTTAGGCCCATGTGACAGGGAACTGGAGTCTCCTGCCAGCAGCCACCGGAGTAAGGCTTCTTGGAAGGGGTCCTCCAGCCCCAATCAAGCCTTCAGATGACTGCAGCACCAGCAGGCAGCTTGTTTGCAACTTAATGAAAGAACCTGGGACAAAAATGACCCAGTTTAGCCCTTCTAGAATTCCTGACCCACGGGAATGGGAAGATGATGCTTCTTGCTTTAAGCTGCTAAATGTGTGTCACGTAACGGAGTCTGTGCATGGTACAAATGATTAATGAGCTTTGTTACTACCCAAAAGGCCAGTGGTTCGAACCCATCCAAAGGCACCATACTTCTTTAAAAAGCAGCCAAGGACATTCAAGTAGACAAGAAGTAAAACCCTGCTTGTAGATGATATGATCCTACAAGTAGAGAATCCCAAAAATCTTGGCACGAAAATTGTTGAAACTAATTGAAAAGATTCAGCAAAGTGTCAAGGTACAAGATCAACATACAAACATCGTCGGCGTCCGTGACCCCAACAAAGAGAACTCTGGAAGGAAAATCAGGCCCCATTTACAATAGCCACCCAAAAGAATGGTGCAGCAGGCAAGAAGGATGAGCAGAAACAGTAAACCCCAGGAGGAAGGGAGAGACTGCAATCAGTGTCACAAAGTTAAAATACATTGGCTGGAAAACTGATTTACTCTGTAAACTCTCAGCTAAATTACAATACCATATTTTTTAATGGAGGTAAAAAACGATTCAAACTATTTAGAAATGAATATAACCAGGGAAACAACAACCAAGGGTGGGGGAACCACACAAAGAGCAGGGCATAACACTACCACAAGAAACCAACAGAAATCTACCTACATGGAAGAATTTACCATGCTCAGAGGAGACTTCACATGGTGAAAATGCCAACACTGCCCACAGCAATCTCCTGACACAGTGCAATCCTGATCCAGATTGCAGCATCGTGCTGGAAGGAGATAGAAAGCCAACTCACCACGTTTGCACCGAAAGGTAAGAGAACCGGAATAAGCAAAGCACCAGTGAAGAAGAATGATGGAGGAGGCGTCTCACTTCCCGACCTCAAACCTGCTACACAACTCCAGTCGTCAAAGCAGCCCGGCACTGGACCAGAGATGACCACTGACCAAAGGAACAGAATCGAGAAGCCAGAGGTCAGTCAGACAGCTGGTCATTGACAAAGGGCAGAAACACATCAAATGAGGGAAAGAGTATCTCTTTCACAAATAGTACTGGGTAAAACAGGTTATCCATTTGCAGAAGAATGAAATGGCCTATATCTCACACCACATTAAAAAAAAAAAAAAACTCAAGATGGATCAAAGACCTACAGGTAAAACATAGAAATATAAAGATCATCCATGAAAAATACAGGCACAAATGTAAGGGCCCTAATACAGGGCATAAAGACACTGTCAAACCTAATGAAAAAACGCACAAATAGCAGGAAGCAAAATAGATGACTGAGACCTCCTACAGACTAGATGCTAATCTCCATCAAAGAGAGAGTTTCACCTAAAGAACCCACAGACTTGGCAATGGCGTATCAGAGCGGGGACTCGTCTCTGGAATCTCACAGTAGAAGACGCTGGATAGCATGGGAGAAACGTGACCCAGAAATCAAAATCATCAAAGAGACCAGGCTCACTAGTTGGATAGAGACTGGTAGGGCCCTCAAGACTGTAGCCTCAGTCACCCTTCAGGTCTGGAACTGAACCCACCCCCAGTTATAATCACCAGACATCTAAGATCAAAGGAGCAGCATCAAGGACAAAGCTTGAATGGTTAGGATGGGAGGAGGGATGGAAACCGGAAACACAGGAAGGAAGTGGGCAAAATACGCATGAATTGTTGACTGTGAGACTGCGCGTAAACCTTCACCTTAATCACAATAAAAAGTAAAATGAAGGCACACAGGTGAGTCGGAATCCGCCTGAAGGCAACGGCCTGGTTGGCTGTGTCCCTGTCATGTGACAATAGATAACCCGCAGATGCCCCCTTTCTGCCCTGGTGCTGAGAGGGCCGCTCTTCTACAGGGAAAGGGCCCCCGAGTCTCAGGTCCCGCAGCCACTGCTGAGACACAAACCACAGACACGGGCCTGCTGCCTGTGGATTCACAGACCGTTTATTTCTCCAAGAAGACGGAGGAAAGAGAGAAGAGGAGAGAGAAAAACTGACACCCCCAGGTGGTGGGGTGGAAAGAAAAGTTGAACAGAAAAACTCCTCCTCTTTCTCTTGCCACTGACTCCCGGGACCCCAGCTTCAGAGGGGACTTCTGGGGGTGGCTTAGGGGCCTCTGAGTGGCCGGGCAGCTGTTGGCTGGGGTCAGGATCCCCACAGGGGCAGGTCCCAGACTCGGAATGGCTTCTGTATACACAAAATATCTCTCTGCAAAAGGCACTGTTGGGGAGGGGGCAGCAGAGAGGCTGCCCCGTCACAGGTCAAAGGGCAGGGGCCACTGGGTCCTGGGTCTGGATTCTGGTCCTGGAGACTGTCCCTCAGGGGCCGAATCTCTGCAGCTCTCATTCCACTCCTCTCCCTTCCCTCAGCCTAGCGGTGAGCAGGCAGTCAGCAGAGGACCAGGTCGGGTCGTTAGGTGGGGGAAGGGGGGGGCGTCCCTCTTCAAGGCTGGTGCACCTGGTGACCTCTAAGCCAACAACCCCAGGCGGGTGACTTTGGCCGAGAGGAAGGAGTGGATGATGAAGACGATGGTTTTGGGGCAGGAGTGCAGGTCCAGCTGCTGCAGAGTGGACAGAGAGAAGGTTAGAGACCCGCTCTAGCCTGGCCTCCCGGAAAACACAGCATTCCTCCCCCAGGCATGAGGCCGCCTTCCACTCACGATCTCTCCCTCAGCGCCCCCGAAGTCCAGGAAAAGGAGGCTGGCACCATCGTCCGAGGACATCTGCAGCTTCTCGAAGGGCTGCCGGAGTAGCACAGTTCGGGGGGCACCTGGCTCAGCCGCCCACAGCGTGAAGCCCTTGTCCATGTGCACAGAGAGGCTACAGGGACGGCCATTCCACGTGCAGGCTGTAGGGAAGGTGGAGGCATGGGCATCTCAGAGAATCCCAAGTCCCATCTCCAACCCCACGTGAGCAGCTCTGGCCGAGTGGGCGCTTGAATACCCCCAGGGATGGAAGGCTCATCGGTCAGGATGTCTGGCAGAGTCACCCCCACTCTCAGAAAACCTGCACCTCACTTCAGCCCCATTTGCAGCGACACCCCAAATACAGAAAGAGGGAGCTTAAAAATCTGCCATAGGAAAAAAAAAAAAAAAATCTGCCATAGACAATGAGTCCCCTCCCTATGATGGCCTCAGCAGGCCCACCAAGCACGGCCAGATGTAGCCATAAAAGCGCCAGATGCCCAGTGAAATTTGGACTTCCAATAAACGCTATCAATGCTTTACTCATATAAATATTTCTAACTTACCTACTGTTTATCTGAAAAACAGGTTTAACCGCAGGTTCAATATTTTATCGGGAGTCCTGGTGGCATAGTGGGTAATGTGTTGAGATGTTAACTACAAGGTCACCAGTTCAAAACCACTAGCCCCTCCACGGGAGAAAGTTAAGGCTTTCTCCTCTCAAAGAGTTATTAGTCTTAAAAAAAAAAAAAGTTACAGTTTCGGAAACCCACAGGGGCAGTTCTACCCTGTCCTATAGCGCCACTTTGAGTCAGAATCAACTCAATGGCAGTGAGTTTTTGATCAATATATTCTCTGGCCACACTACCCCCAAGGACTGTGTCCAACATCCTTGACTAGGAATCCCAAATCCAGGACCAGAGCAGCCCCAGGAGAAGGGGCCTTCAGTGACCCTGGCCCTGCCCTGAAGTGCTGACAGAGAGCACCTCGCTGCTTCAAATGATGAGAGGGTCATTACTGCAGAGACAAACGTAGACCCGCTCAGCCTACCTGTAGACACCTCCTGTACACCCTCAGCGGCCCGGTGACAGCCATCCACCAGCTGGCGGGTCCAGGCAGCCAGCTCCTGCGGTGACTCCACACTAAACAGGTGCGTGTCCACGCCGTGCCGTGTGCCCGTGCGCAGGACGAAAGACAGCTCTGCATCGTAGGGCACCGAGCCCTTTGCAGGGCCTGAGTGCACCAGCCTGGAGAGCGGGGACACACGCACGCACACACACAGAGGGTTAGGTGTAAGGTCTCAGGCATCAGTGAGACAGCGCTGGGGCTCTGGGCAAAAGGGGAAGGACCCCATGAACCCTTCACCCCCTAATGGTGGGCACTAAGTGACTCAGCAGGAGGCTTCACCACCAGCATCTCTGATCCCTCCCCTTCACTCCCTCTGTGGGGCCGTGGAGTCCAGCCTCCAAACCTTTGTGTGTGCGCATTTCATCACTGTCCTGCGACCTTTGCTCAGGGGCCACTGCCTCTGAGAAGCCTTCCCTGAACCTCCTTGTCTAAAACAACAACCTTGCCACCCACCACGAACCTTCCATTTCCTCGGGGCCCCAAAACTCACTAGAATGTCAGCTACGACAGAAATTGTCTCTCACTCTCACTCTGCTCGCCCAGCAGCTAAAACCACCCGGCCCAGCTGAGGTGCTCAATGACCTGCTCACTGCTACTAGCCAGCAGGCTTGGAGGGAGGGAGAGGAGGGTTGAGGCGCGAAGGCCCAGCCTAGGGTGGGGACACACGGATGACAAAGGTCTCAGACCCTGAAACTTGCCACCCATTTGCTATGTGGCCTTGGGTAGCTCACGGCCCATCTCTGGGCGGCAGGTTTCTGAGTTCTGGCCCTTAGTTAACCTCTGCACTTCATGCCACACACTCCCGCTTGAAGCCTCAGGTGCCGCTTGGAGCTGCTGCAGACACCCTGTCTCCCACCTTCCAGGTCTGAGCTACAGAACCTGGGGTCCTCAAGTTTCCGCCCCAAGCCCCAAGCCCCCCACTGACGTACTTTGGACTCAGCTTAGCATCTGACTCAACCTGGTCCCTGGGTGCCACCTCCCTGAAGCAGCCCTACTGCCCCCCCTGCGCAAGCCCCAAGCCTCCCGTTCTCCTTCTCCCAATGCCTCCCTCACCCTCTTCACCTGGCAAGCAGGAAATCCTGTTAATTTTACCAGCCATGTGTCTTCCACAGCAAATGCAGCTTTTCTTCCCCGTCTGTTGCCTGCAGCCACCCCCACAAGCCTGCAGGGCTGCAGTGCCCCCACCCCCACCCCACCCTCCCCTCCTGCTTCCTCCATCCTGCACGTGGTTCACATGGCAGACACACACACACACACACACACACACACACACACACACACACACACACACACACGGTTAGGTGTAAGGTCTCAGGCAGCAGTGAGACCACTCCCAGGCTTAAACTCTCCACTTCTTCACCCCAGCTCTGGAGGGGCCACTAGCATTCCTTAGCCAGATGGTCAAAGTCCTGTCTCACTGCCTTCTATTTTTCCTGCGTGGATTCCATACAGTGGTTCTACCGCACTCAGACTTCCAAGCACTGTAGGCCTCAGGGCCTTTGCACAGGTTGCTCTCTCAGCCTCCTTGTGTGCTTTTCCACCCTTTCTTACGTAGCAAACTTCTATTCATCCTTCTGAGTCCAGCTCAGATGCCACCTCCTCCCCGAAGCCTCCCCTAGCCAGGCCAGGCAGAGGGAAGCAGTCCCTACAAACCCACATGGGTATGGCTGAGTCTGGGTCTGTCTCCCCCACAGACTGTTGGGGTCTGCTCTATGTCCCCTCAAACCTCGGAGTACAAAATTGGGTACAAACAAGGGGTTCTGATGACTGAGTGACTAGCGGAACCACGTGCCCTTTTGTTACAAGGCCACACTGTCCGGACGAAGACACCAACTCCCAGACAGGGCAGGACTTGGTCCAGGTCTCCAGATGGATAACTCTGGAGCAGAAGGGGCTGCAGTCCCAGCTTCTGAGGCCCATCTCCCACGCCCCCAAGCTCGGGGTGAAACCCGCATGCCCCTGCCCTGCTGGTTGTGGAGACCTGGTGGCGATGAGCGGGGCGGTACGTGCCGGCCGGCTGAGGGCCTCTCGGGTCTGGGGGAGGCAGGAGTAGAGAAGCAGCTCCTTGTCGGTCAGCAGGGCCAGGGTAGGCGCTGTGCTCCCACTGGACAGCTGCAGGAGGGGTGGGAAGAGGTCAGACAGCCAGGGAAGGGACCAAAGGGAGAGGGAGGTCCCAAACCCACGGGCACCTGCTCAGTCAGCCAGCCGATCTGCTTGAGGTCCTGGCTCCCAGCTGTGCTGGTGGCGGCCAGCAGCGCCTGCAACTCGTCTTTGACCCAGGGCATCAGGGTGTGGACCTGCGCTTGGATGGCCGTTGCCCATGACCTCGCGCTTGCCTCGTCCTTGGCCCTCAGAAAGAGGGTGTCTTGGCCATCGGCTGAACAAATCTCCAGATACCTGCAGGCACAAAAGGGGTGACGAGGAGGGCCTCTCCTCTGGGTTGCAGCTGCCCCACTCCAAGATGTGGCCCAAGCAATCCTACCCCACCCCACCCCAAGCTAGGAGAAACCACAGGGATGTCATGAGAGAACCAGGGGCTCCACTCATCCCTGGGACACCAGCCACATTAGATGGGGACTCATCACGTCTAAGGACAAAGGGCCATGAAACACACACACACACACCCTTGAGCTGTGTGATGAGGCCAAAATCATTCTTAACCTTGCCCTTTTCTCCTCGTTCCTAAGGGAAGGACTCTCTTCCTGGGCCAGCACCCAGGTTCTCATATGCTGCACAAATGCACACCACTGCACTACGTGGGGAAAGACACAGAAACTACTGTAGTGTAAGAGGCCAGGCTGAACTATATAACACAGAGCTAGATGACTGGAGCAAGAAGGGGGAGACAAGAACGGGGCGAGAGTTTAAAGCAAAGTACCAAGAGAAGTAAAGATAGATGATTTTTTTAAAATCATTTTATTGGGGGCTCATACAACTCTTATTACAATCCATACATCCATTGTGTCAAGCACATTTGTACATTTGTTGCCCTCATCATTCTTAAAACATTTGCTTTCTACATGAGCCCTTGGTATCAGCTTCTTATTTTTTTCTCATTCTTCCCTCACGAACACTTGATAATTTATAAATTATTATTATTTTGTCATGTTTACACTGTCTGACGGCTCCCTTCACCCACTTTTCTGTTTTCTGTCCCCCAGGGAGGGGGTTATATGTAGGTCCTTGTGAGCGGTTCCCCCTTTCTACCCTACCTTCCCTCCAGCCTCCCAGTATTTCCACTCTCACCACTGGTCCTGAGGGGTTCATCTGTCCTGGATTCCCTGTGTTTCCAGTTCCTATCTGTACCAGGGTGCATCCTCTGGTCTAGCCAGATTTGTAAGGTAGAATTAAGATCATGATAGTGGGGGGAGGAGCATTAAAAAACTAGAGGAAAGTTGTATGTTTCATCATTGCTACAGTGCACCCTGACTGGTTGGTCTCCTCCCTGCCACCCTTCTGTAAGGGGATGTCCAGTTGCCTACAGATAGGCTTTGGGTTCCTACACCACACTCCCCCCATCATTCACTATGGTAAGAATTTTTGTTCTTTGATGTCTGATGCCCGATCCCATCGCCATCTCCTGATCACACAAGCTGGTGTGCTTCTTCCATGTGGGCTTTGTTGCTTCTGAGCTAGATGGCTGCTTGTTTATCTTCAAACCTTTTAGACCTTAGATGCTATTATCTTTTGATAGCTGGGCACCATCAGCTTTCTTCACCACATTTGCTTATGCAGCTGCTTTGTTTTCAGCGATCGTGTCGGGAAGGTGAGCATCATGGAATGCCAGTTAATAGAACAAAGTATTATTGCATTGAGGAAGTACTGGGGTGGAGGCCCAATGCTCATGTGCTACCTTAATATTAAATCTATGTATATATGCACATATATTTCCCATCATCATATAAATATATTTACATATGTACATGCCTGTATTTAGACCTTTATAAGTGCCCTTTGCCTCCTAGTTCTTTCCTCTATTTCCTTTTACTTTCCTCTTGTCCACCATCATGCTCAACCTTCATTTTGGTTTCAGTAATTCCTGAGAGAGATGATTTTTAAAACACTTCCTGAGCATGAAGGATTTACTCTCCTTTGGCACTTCTGTGGACGTCCAGTCCTGGAACTGCGGGTTAACCACGGGACTGTGAGATGTGAGCTATTTAACATAGTGCCCAATGCCCTTTCCTCAGGCTGCGCCAGCCCAAAGGTTGGTGGTTTGAATCCACCAGCAGCTCCACAGGAAAAAGGTAAAGAAAGCAGTCTGCAGGCTTGGAATGCTGTCTGGAGAGCCTTTCTGGTCTCTCCGGTGGGGTCGCTATGAGGCAGCCTTGACTCAGTGGCAGTGGGGTTGGGCTTTGGGCACGTTTCTATAAGAGATGGAACGTGACACCGGATGATCACAACACCCATTTCAACCCCTTCACCTTCATTACAGGACCAGAATGCAAAATGCTTCAATTCCCAGCCACCCTTTCAGCTAGAGCTGGCCATGTGGCCCAGTTCTGACCAATGAGATGCAGAGGGAAATCGCTTCTCTGTAGAGGAGGTATTCCTTCCTGAGTGAAAGTGGATCCTTCCTAGTACGGTGAATAGTTTCCAAAGATGTTGTTGTTGTTGTTGCTAGGTGCCAGTGAGTTGGCCTTGACGCACAGAGACCCTCTGCACAGCAGAAGGAAAGACTGCCCGGTCCTGCACCATCCTCACAATTGTTCCTATGCCTGGGCCCATCGATGCAGCCACTGTGTCCATCCGTCTCCTGGAGGGCCTTCCTCTTGTTCACTGCCCCTCCACTGTACCACGCATGATGTCCTTCTCCAGGGACTGTTCTCTCCTGACAGTTGTATGTCCAACATATGTAAGAGGAAGTCTTGCCATCCTTGCCTCTAAAGACCACTCTGGCCTTACTTCTTCCAATACAGAGCTCCAAAGACAGCCCCCCACTAAATCTAACCTCTACGGATTGAGTCACTGGGCCTGAGAGATCAGGACCACAGTTCCAGAGGACACCAAGGTCAAGGTCAATTGACATCACTTAGTTCATAAAGACCAGGAGAAAGAAGAGTGAAGAAAATCAAAGGACATGGAGGGAGCCCTGGAGCACAGTGATTACACATTGGGGCTGTGAACAGCAAGGCCAGCAGTTTGAAACTACCAGCTCCTCAGGAGAAAGAGGGGGATTTCCACTTCTGCAAAGAATTACAGTCTCAAAAGACATTTGGAAACAATTAGTCCCACAGACTAATGGACCACACAAACACTTTCCTCCTGTTTAACCTGAGCCCAGAAGAACTAGATAATGCCTCACTACCAACTGCACCGAACAGGATGACATGGGTAGAATGGGAGAACACTGTGGATCAGAACTCAAAAGCATGAAAGAGTTCAGGCTTATGGTCAGAGACTGGTGGGGCAGCCCTCCCTCCCTAACATATGTGGCTCTTCTTCACTGTCCAGGTCTGGAACGCAACTTCCCTGGTGTGTGGTCGATAATCAGGCATTTAAGATCAAAAGGGCAGCATTGAGCCAAGGACAAAGTTCAAAGGGTTGGAGCAGGAAGAGGAATGGAAAAGGGCAAGAGGGAGAGCGCGGGACAAGTGATGATACCTTGAGGGGGTTACAGTAGATGAGTTGGAACAAAATGTGTATGAATTGCTGAATGGAAGATTCCTGGTCAGCTCTGTCAACCTTCACCTAATTCATAATAAAGGGGGGGAAAAATCTATCCCTCTCTGTAGGTACAGTCACTGCCCTCCCTCAGGAAGTGGAACAAATTTCTCCTCCCCTTGAATCTGGGTTGGCCTCGTGAGTTGCTCTGACAAATAGACTGGGGTTCCCAAGTCATTACCTAAGAAGCCCAAGGAGCCTCGGCGGCACTGTGAGTTAGGCACTGGACTTCTAACCACAAGGTCGGTAATTCAAACCAAACTGCCAGTTCTTCGGAGGAAAATGAGGCTGATTCTCCCAGAAAGATTCACAGCCTCGGGAACCCTGCACAGAGTGGCTATGTGTCAGAATTGACTCTGTGGAAGTGGGTTTGGTTTGGGGGCTTCTATAAGAAGCCCAGAAAGACCAATCACTAAAATAGAATATCGTGTTTGGGAACGTAGAGGGTGGGAGAAAAGGGGAAACTACCAGTGGACAGAGTAACACAACAGCCTCAACCACGGAGCTAGACATCAACAACCAAGCCAGCGACACAGACCCCGGCAACCCTTCGTTCCGCGATACGAAAGGTTGCCGTGCGTCAGAGCCAACTTGACGGCAGCACACCACAACAAATAAGGAGAAGAGCAACTCCGAGACCCTCCTGCTGAGATGGAGCAAGCTAGCCTGGTGGAAAAGCCCGTCCCAACCATCCCTGCTGAGCAGTCAGACAAGTGGGTGACGCCCCAGCAGACACCACACAGAACAGAGCTGCCAGCCAAAATGCAAAACTGAGAAATAATAGTTATTTCCTAAGATGTTATGTTTTGGAATGGGTTTGTTATGCAGCGGTGGATCATCAAAATACTGAGAATTCCCTGTCTTTGGATACAAGGCTTGGAGGTACAACCACTAGCCTGTCTACATGACAAAGAAAAGCCACAAAGCAGTGGGGACGGAGGAATCTGGACGCCACTCCTGCTTCTTCCATGGCATCCTGGACCTATGACCCCTAGAATTCTTCCTTAATATATAGAAAAATAAATCCCTCCTTTTGTTAAGACCATTGCTTGCTGAGGTTCCTGAGACTTGCAGCCCAAAGCACTCCTCACACTGAGCAAAAGTTTGAAATACTTGTCATTGAATTTTGGCTGCCAGACTGTGTTGCTTTGACTGAGCTAGTAGGCTGACAGACCACACAGAATCTCAGTTAGGTTCAGGTACAAGTGGTGTGCAACAGTCAAGCACAGGTGCCCATATACATGAGCACGTATGCATGCAAACATAAACACACACGTGTGCACCAAATCCATACCCACACACATACTACTGCTCACACATGCAAACCTTGTATTTGCATGCCACCTAAAAGTGCACATACACAGAAGTGCATGTAGATGTATGCTCCAGTGATGTCTGGAACCAGGCTAGGGAACAAAATTAACCGAACCCTTCAGAAAAGCACACGCAGAGGACCTGGGAACCACCAGCTCACACCTCATGGGGCAGAGTGGGGGAGGGCATCAAGTAGGACCAAAACCCAACTCCCGCCCATGGAGTCAACGCCAACTCACAGTGACTATACAGGCCAGGACAGAACTGCCACCTTTGCGTTCCCGAGACTATAACTTTTGGCGGGAATAGAAAGGCCCATCTTCCGTGGAGTGGCCGATGGTTTTGAACTGCTGACCTTGCAGTTAGGAGTCCAACTCGTAACCACTAAACTACCAGAGCTCCTATCAAGAAGAACCAGGAAGCTTAAATGCTGGGCCAATGCTGGCCAATCCCCCAGCCCATGTTGGGCATTTGCTTGGCTCTGAACCTAGGCTGGAACTGGGACCCACCAAACCACAGGAATCCCAGCCTCCACACCTGACCAACGCATATTCTATTCAACCATGCCCATCCCTTGGGCACCTAGGGTGGCGTCTAAAGCAGAGAGGGTCGCCACAAGTGCTGGAGCAGGGTTCACCCCAGCCGAGTCACGGGACTGGGTGGTTTATTTCTCTCAGAGCCACTGTCATCTGTTCAGTGGGGGTGAAATATTGGGAGGCTCTCACCAGGTTGCTGTGGGAGTTTAAATGAAATAGTACATGGAAAGCACTTACTTAGCACCCAGTTAAAGTCCTTAGATGCCACCCAGCTGTTCCCGAGGCACGGTGACCCCCGTGTGCAGAGTCGAACTGCTCCACAGGGTTTTCGAGTGGACGGCCTTTTGGAAGCACATGGCCAGGGCCGTCTCCAAAGGGCTTGACCCACCAGTTGGCAGTCAAGGCTTCATCTCTGACCCAACCCAGGGCCTCCTCAATAAAAGGCAGTGGGACCAACCATTTTATGATTGAACTTCAAAGGGCTGCTCTGATCTGAGGCATGGTCACTTCTCTGGCCCGGATACAAACATGACTAGAACCTCAGTAGGAGTTAGAAGAGATTTTTTGAAACCAATGGACTCCAAAAACCTTATTTCCCAATAACTTAGCTCACTGCCACTGAGTCGATTCCAGCTCACAACGACTCTCTAGGACAGATTAGAACTGCCCCTATTGGTTTCCAAGGGTGTAAACCTTTACGGGAAAGCCTCATCTTTCTCCTGTGGAATGGCCGGTGGTTTCAAACTGCCAACCTTGGGTTTAGCAACCCACCACATCACCAGGGCTTCTTATTTCCAGTAGGGACTAATCCAAGGAGAATTGGGGCTGGAGCCTGAGGTGTCTCATCAGGCCAAGGTCCCCCTCCCAATATGTAGAAATAAGCAGACTGGACTTCATTTCCATAACCACCATCACACAGCAGGCATGTCCTAAGCTCCCACTATGTCCTGGCATTGTGCTGGTTATCTGCAATGCCGAAGTCTCTTTAGTTTGACCTCACCACCTAATTCCAGACCATCTGTCTGTCTGAGACATCCTCACCCCTCACCCTACCCCAGTCTTACCTGGGCTCTGGGTCAGTGGGGGTGCACCTCCGTGAGACATATGCCATTTTCAAGGACAGGTGTTTGGCATCACTGAGGTCCCGGAGTGGGGGGCCAGGGGAGGAAGGCTGCCGCTGAAGGGGTGAGGCAGGAGGCGAGTCCCAGCCCACCGAGGTCCCGCCGCCGGCAGAGTTCTTGAAATACGGTGAGACCTCCTTCATGTACTTGACTGCTCGGGGAAGAGGTCAGTAGTTACCACGATGACACAGGCGCCGCTGCAGCACACGTCACCACTGTCACCACTTCATTATGCGTTTTTGTCTGCTCCATGACCTTCCTCCAGGCTAAACCATCTGGCAGGGCCAAGCTCAAACCAAACTCACTGCCTCGAGTTAACGACCCTGTAGGACAGGGTAGAGCTGCCCCCTGTGGGTTTCCGAGACTAGAACTCTTTACAGGAGCGGAGAGCCTCGTCTGTCTGTCTCCCAAGAAGTGGCTGGTGGTTTCTGCCGGCTGACCTTGCAGCTAACAGCCCAGAGCGCCTTCCTTGTGCCAGAACACTAGGGCAGCGGTTCTCTGCCTTCCCAATGCCACGCCCCTTCCATACCGTTCCTCATGTGGTGGGGACCCCCCAACCGTAACATTATTGTCGTTGCTCCTTCATCACTGTCATCTCGCTACTGTTAGGGACCGGGCGACCCCTGGGAAAGGGTCGTTTGGCCCCCCCAAGGGGGTCACAACCCACAGGTTGAGAGCCACAGCACAAGATGCTTGCCGACCTCGGTGTTCTCACTTCCCCCTGACTTCTAGACGTGTGTCCACCTAGAGGAAAGCTTGCATTTCCCAGCTCCCATTGCAGCTCGCTGTGGCCGTGGGACGAAGTTCAAACCCAGCAGCTGGACCTGGTGTGTCAGCCTTCTTCCTCGTTTTCCTCTCCTCCAGCTTGAGAATTTGCAAGGAGAGGGCCTATTCCTAACGCAGACACAATCTTTTGACCACAGTGGGTGGGGTCCACACACTGTTGATGGATAAACAGAAAGATGGGCAGATTGGGGTTCCTGATGAGACCATGAGTCTCTAAATTAGCCTAGCCCCAAGCCACCCGCCTCAAGGCATTTTGTTCTGGAAGACAGCACGTTTTCTTCAGTGTTGAAACCTTTTTTAATTTGGTTTCTGTTTCTTGCAGCCTTGCGCAGTACAAGGGATGCCCAGTTAAGATGCTAAAGGCACATGACCCCTTTGACCCAACAATATCCCCTCCAAGAAGCCATGCTTCAGAGAAATAAAGGCACCTCCCCTTGGCCCATGCTGCAACAGACACACTGTCACACTAAAACAGGCCATTTCCCACCCTTGGTCTGATTCCCTGCGTCTTTCACTCCACTTGAAGACCCTCCGGGGCTTGAACCCTGTCCACCTCCCTGCCCACATACCCTGGGTCAATAATACTGACCCACCCACAGCGTTCAGAAGCCGCCTGAGCTTCCACATTTGAAAACGCCGCTCCTTCTGGAAGGACACAGTTTGGAGTCAGACACTCTTGGATTTGAGCTCCAGCCCCAGCTCTGTAACCCTGAACAAGATAACTCACCTCTCTGGGGCCTCAGTCTGCAGACTGATAAAAGAATAGTCATGGGATCTAACTCAGCTGCTGCGGTCAAATGAGATGAAGTGGTACACAGTACGGCCTTCGGGAATGCGAGTCTCTTGCCTGTCGGCCTCCCCTGCCCACACTTCTTCGAGTGTGCCGTGATTGTGTGTGTCCAAGGCTGGTTCCCCAACAAAACTGGGAGCTCCTAGTGGGCAGACACTGGGCTGGATGCTCCGTGAATAGAAACATCTGTGCCAGGGCAGGACAGGCTCACTCAGCAAGAAGACAGTGCTGCACCCAAAGAGGCCCAAGCACAGCTCAGACATTGCCCCTTCTAGAGAGCCTTCCCTGGTACCCAGCCTGGATCTGTAGCCTCCTAGTCCCCTCCCTCCTACTCCGCTATCATGTCTGGCTCTGGGTCTGGGTCCCCCACCAAGCAAAGAGCACGGTGAGGGAAGGGGTCTCGTCTGAATTATGTCGGTGGCCCCAGGATCCAGCAGATGTCTCAGAAGCTACATGCTCAGCTAATGAACATTCGTCAGCTTTGAAGTGGGAAAAATGGCCGCAGTCCCTGCTCCCCGGGCGGCCCCGGAGCTGAGGCTTCCCTCTTTCCCACAGCAACATGCTATAAATGGACAGGACACCAGCCGGTGCCTGAAACAAGGCTTGGATTTCACAAACCAAGCAGCCTGTTCCAGGGTGGAGGTGAGAGCCTGGGGGTCCCAGAGTCTGGCCATAAATAGCCCAGCTCTGAGGCTTCCTGAGTCACCTGACCAGGCAGGGTGGGGCCAGCCGGCCGGCCTGCAGCTGTGGCCTAAGAGCCGAGGACATGACTGTGGTCCTGCCGCCAACATTTCTGAGATGCCAAAGACGAGCCCAGTTTCGGCCACATCCCTCTCCCAGCTGAGGCCCTGGCCCAGAAGCCAGGGGAAGCAGGGACAGGAGGGCCTCACCCCTGAGGACCCAAACATGGGACACCCTGCCTCTCTGCCAGGGGACCAGACACCCAGGGACCACCAGCTCTCCCAAGGAGGGAAGCACAAGCCTGGTTCAGGCCACAAGAGCACAAGAGGCCAGGAATAGACACCACTGGAAACACAAGGTACTGCGATGGAGCAGACCAGTCCCCTGGCCGGGGCAGGGAGGTACATCTATGTGGGAGAAGGGGACCCATCTGACTTGGCTCAGCCTCGTCTCCAGCACTTAGCCCAATGCTCCATAAGTGTTCGTGACAGAATGTCCTGGCAGCGAGTCTTGGCTGAAGGCAAACCTGTCCTCTAGGCTCAAGCTGTTCCCAGTTTGCTCAGGGTGTGGGCACGTACCTCTGCCTGAAATCTCGGGATCCAAACACATTTGCTCACCAGTAAATGGCCTCGAGCAGGAGCCTGCTGTTCCCGACGGCACCCCCACCATCTAGAGTCCAAAGCCAAACCAAGCCCATTGCCATTGAGTCAATTCCAACTCACAGCGACCCTACAGGACAGAGTAGAACTGTCCCGTGGGTTTCTGAGATTGTACCTCTTTAAGGGAGCAGACAGCCTCATCTTTCTCCCCAGGAGCAGCTGGTGGGTTCAGACTGCTGACCTTGCAGTTAGGAGCTCAATGCTAACCCACTACACTGCCGGCGGCAACAGCACCACCAGTACCACCATCACCGGGGTCCCATATAGAATAATGAGTGCCTGGGATCAGCAAATCAAAAGCAGTTTAAGCAAATTAATCTTAAAGGCTTGAGGCTCCTCCGCCTGGAAGAGAATATGGCCTGTGGGGTCTAAAGGGAAGCCTCTGCTGTGTGAGTCGGCCTCTGCGAAGCCTCTCTGTCCTCGCCTTGAAAATGGGATTCCAGGGCACCTACCGCACAGGCATTTACAAGAGCCAATAATACATCTGAGGCACTTTTCTGTGCGGCACATGCTTGCTCGCCTCTGCTGTTCTCAGCAGACAGAACAAGGGGATGGCCACAGGGTGTGGTGGCTGAGAGACACAGGGATCTAAGTCCAGTCCCACTTCCCTTGCTATTTGGCCTGGGCAAGTCCACCATAGGCACCGATCCGGCACCTCCAAGCAAAGCACCACGGGGATTCAAGCCCAGGCTGTCTGCCTGCCCACTCAGACGGTGTGGTGAGAACAAGCAATTCCAGTGAGTTCTGAAAGGGATGACCTTTCAGGTCTGGCGAATCAAGGTTGGGCTATAAACATTACCTGGCCCCTGGCAGGCCCCATAGCAGGGAGGGCCAGCCAGCCTAGGTTGCAACACTGGTGGGGGGATTACCCTCCCCTTACAACAGCCTTGCAAGGGACAGAGAGCATCCCCTGCTAAGATCCATGAGTCCTTTGACCCAACACTACCCTTTCCAGGACCACACTGCAGAGGAACTGTGTAGAGGGGCCACGCTCTGTTGTCAAGGAATGCTGTGGCTGATAGGGGGCACCAGCCTGGCCCCACCTCAGGGATCCCTCCTGCAGGATGGAAGGAAGCGCTGCCCTGTCCTGCCCCACACCTTTGATCAAAAAACTCAAAGGAAAAAAAAACGTCAAACTCGCTGCCATAGTTTCCAATGCATAGTGACCTTCAGGGCAGAGTAGAGCTGCCCCTGTGGGTTTCCAGGGCAGTAACTTGTCAATCAAACCATGATGATCCATAGAGCTCTCACTGGGCAATTTTCAGATGACGATCACCAGGCCTTTCTTCCTAGTCTGTCTTCATGGGGAAGCACCACTGAAACCTGTTCAGTATCAAAGCAACCACCAAGTCTCCAGTGACAGGCAGGTGGCGGCAGTACATGATGCGTTCTGGCCAAGAACGGAACCTTGGACTCCATATGGAAGGCAAGAATTCCACCACTGACTCACCAAGGCCTAACTGCCCCGAGTAACCATTGTTCTGGCATCGAGTCTTACCCATAGCGACCCCATAGCACAGAACAGCACTGCCCCATGCAGCTTCCGAGGCTGTGATCTTTATAGAAGGAGATGGCCTCATTTTTCTCCCACGCAGCAGCTGGTGGGTTCAAACTGCTGACCTTTCTATTAGCAGCTGAGCACTTAGCCTCCAGAGGTCCTCATTCTTGAGTAAGCTAAATAGACCACTGCCATCAAGAGAATTCCAACTCAGAGCAACCCTATAAAGGGTTTCTGGGGACTGTGACTCTTTATGGGAGCAGGAGTCTCATCTTTCTCCCAAGGAGCGGCTGATTGATTTGAACTGCTGACCTTAAGGTTAGCAGCTCAACACCTACCCAAACAGCACCACCAGGTGCCTTCCCCCCTAAAGCTGGGAAGTGTAAGAGGCTAGCTCCCCAGCTGGCAGAGACCACTCCATGTGGGTCATGGCTGTATTCTTGGTGTCTGGGTCCACTCCTGGCATGCAGCACATGGTCAACACCTATTTGTTCCATGAATCTATGAATCCCCAAAAATGAGATATTAAGAAGGGGACAGACAATAGAAGGTCCTGGACCAAGCAGAGGCAGGGGCGTGTAGAGCAAAATTCAAACTCATGAAAAAGACCAGACTTACTGGTCTGCTGAAGTCTGGTGGAACCCCCAAGACCATGGCCCTTTGACACCTTTCAACCCAGGCACTGAACCTACTTCTGAGATCACCGTTCAGCCAAACAAGAGATGAGCCTACAGGGT